TTGGGCTGATAGTCCGTGGGAAGAGAAGTGAGGTTCAGCGGCCCGAGGAATGGACCGTGAAGGTAAGCTAGTGCAAAGATTGATGCTCATGGCCCCAGGTGGCCCACTGTCATGATGGCTAAGTGCAGCGTCCCGCAGGCTGCTAGTGTGGCCGGTGTGATAGTGCAGCGAAAGAGGGCTGTGCTGGGTAAACCCAGGCTGTGTTGCTGCTGTTCGTGAAGGCGTCCCGTAGGCACTGCCTCCAAGCGCAGGCATGATGAGGCTGAGTAGGAGTAGCCACCAGGTTGCAAGGTGTGGCTTGGTCCAGCTGATTGTGGTTGCAGTTCCTGGCACCTGGCGGACTGGTCCGCCGGGTCCAGGGTGACGTAGTCACTCCTTGCGATGCTTTTTCGACAGAAGGGCCTCGATGTTGCCAAAGCCCTGGGACATTTCCCGTCGCAGCTCGTCGTGGCGCTCATTGACGCTTTTATTGAGCATCGTGAGCTCCGTCTGGTGGGAGTTGACCTGTTGGGCAACTGAGGCGAGCTGGGAGTTGGTGGCTGCATTGGCTGTGGCCGCCTCCGTGAACCAGTGCTCGAATTTGGTGTTTTGCTTTTGGAGTTCCGCAACATTGGTTTCGAGCTGGTGGAAGCGGGTCTCGAAGCGAGTCTGGTCAGAGGTCTCCATGTCGTGATCTCCGTCCCAGCTGCTCCAGTGGGAGTCAAGCTGCTTTTGGAATGTGGCCTGTAGGTCTGCTTTGATGCGTTCCTCGGCCTGCTGGATTCTGTCTGCGGCTGGTGGTCCTGGTGCGGATTTGCCGTCGAGGGGGTGTTGGTTAAACCATTGGGACCATGGGTCTTTCCCGGCTTGCCAGGGGTCGTTGGTCCGTTGTGTGGAGGAGGAGGCGGCTGACGGGTCGTTGTTGCTGTGAAGGAATTTCTGGGTGCGGTCGAACGCAACCAGATTGGAGCTGGCTGGAGCAGATCGGATGGACCGGAGTTTGGTGACCAGAACGTCCCCATGGGCTCCTTGCAGGATGTTGCTTGGGGGTGCCGATTCAGCGCCAATTTCCCATCCGATGCCGTTGTGGTCGCCCTTGCAGGGTTGAAGTGGTTTGGCGCGCCATCCCCAGGATGCAAGTGACTTGATGAGGCCTTGGCGCTGAGTGCCATGTGGCAGAGGAAAAAGCTTGTATATGTCTACTACCTTGACCTGCAGGTAGGGTTCGTCCGGCTTGAGTGTGTGGTGTGCCTGGGGTAGTTGTGCAGTGTTAAACCGCAGGCCATAGCGGTCATTAAGCCGGATGACCGAGATGGATCCCTCGGTGGTGCGGTGCTTGTGGTGTGCAGTTTGGAGCGTGGCTCCTGGTAGCCAGATGACTCCATAGCGTTCGTCCGGCGCTTTGCCGGATTGGTCGCGTGGGTCGATGAAGAGCCCGTTGGTTCCTGAGAGGGCGAGGAGGTTGGGAGTGATGACCTCAGGGACGCGAACTAGCGCCGTCCAACAGACCGCCTTGTCTTTGTTCACTCTGGCCCCAGATGGGCCGGCCCATTGTCGACCCCAGATGTCAAGGATGACGTTGTCGAGATGGTCTTCGTCGACAGGTGGATGGAATTTCTGGCAGGAGTTTCCGCATCCTGGTGTTTTGCAGAGTGTGAGGATGGGGAAGGCCATCATGACCTGCTTCATGGGGCCCTCGATGAAGACTTGCCAGTCCCCCTGCCATAGGTCTTGGTAGACCGCGAGCTTGATGGTGTTGGTGCCAATTGGAGCCATGTCGGGAGGTTGCCGAAGAGCTGGTCGAGTGATAAGCACCTTGCCGAGTTGTATGAGGCTGCCGTGGATGAGCAGGGGCTCCAGTGTGTTGGCGTGCATGGCAGGGTACATGAGGTCTTCGGTGACCAAAGTTGAGATGGATGGTGCTGGTGTGGTTGTGAGGATTGCAAGAGGTCCTGCGCTGAGTTGTTCTGCTGCCTGTAGGTATGGCATTGCCTGATGGACAGTGGCGAAGGCAATGCCTGTTTTGCCTTTTCCGACAGAGCTGATATGGAGGTGATCGACCGGGATGCCGTCTTCTCCAACAAAAGTGTTGGGTATCAGCTGTAACTCGCTGGGATCGAGTTGAGGGTCCGGTCGGTTGCGTTGAGTGTCAGTGCTGTCCCTGGTCTTTTTCTTGTTTGAGGTGGAAATCCCGTATTGTGTGGATGCTCGTTGTTGGATTTTGACCATGAGTTCCTCGGGCTTGACCCAGAGGAATGGGTGTGCTGGCTTGTTGCCGAGTGACTTCAAAACGCTCCAAGGATTCTTGGAGTGCAGTGCGTCGGTGATTGGTTTGGTGCCGAGTTGTTTGATGGCTGCTGCTGCTCGATCTGTCGCCAGGGCAGGAGGAACTCCTTTCTCGATAAGGAGGTTGCTGAGAGAGAGAGGCGTGTTGTCCAGGGCGAGTTGCGGTGGGCCTCTGGCGACGTGCATGTGCGTGGTGGTAGGATGTCCCTCACGGACTTGATGATGCCACGCTGTGGTGTCTGGGTGGTAGTTGTCCGGCCAGAGGTTGAGAACGTGGCCAAGGTGTGCCAGGGCGACTGTGCCACAGGAGCAATCATCTTGTTGGTCGAAGATTGTGAAGTTGTGGATGCTGGTGCATTCGGTCTCCCAGAGTTCGGCGAGGCGTTGGGCCAAGTGGTGCCCTCCCGCGAGAGATCGAGCAGGTAGACCGTCATAGATGGTTGCTGTAAAGCCTGTGGTGGTTGGCACGGTGGTCAGGAGCGCCCAGTGATCATCATAGGCAAAGATGATGGTGGTGAGAAGCTGTGGGTTGCATCGCTCGAGGAGTTGTAGGGTGTTGTGGTCGATGGTGGGTCCGTTGTCGTGGTGGTGCTGGATAAGGAGAGGAGCTGGGCATTGAAAAGGATCGCCGCCAAGCTCCCCATGTAGGCGTGCAATCCAGGTGAGCTCCGCACTGATTTGCTGGTCGTTGAGTCCCTCCAAGGAGTCGCCGGCTGCCGTGATTGGGGAGCGACAAGGAATGACAGTGTTTTGCCAGATTCTGGTGTCTAGCCGGAGTGGTTGTCCTTGCAGGTCTACCGGAGTTATGCTGGGTGAGATGTGGCCGGCCGCGTATGCTTGGAACAGGTACGCTCCCTGGGGCAGCGTGACTGATGTGGCCTGGTGGGCGATGTGGAAGGTGATCTCAATGTCGATGTCTGTGGTAGCTGCGGCAGAGGTGTGCTTGGTGACAATTGTGTAGGGGCCTTGCCAGCCTTGATCTTGGAGAATGGCTTCTGTGGGACCAGCCGTGGTCCATCCCATAGCTGGACAGAGGCCCCCGGGTCGATGAGCCTGACCTCGGCCTGAAGGACGGTCTGGTGTCCTTCGCGGAGCACGTGAAGGTTGTGCCCATGTTGGTCCTTGATCCACACATGCCGGGTGGCGTGTGAGTGTTCAGTGGTCCAAAGGTGGTGTCGTTGCCATTGAAGGTGGTTCTTGGTGTGTTGGATGTGGATTTGGGGTTCCACAACCGGTTCCCAGCCGTAGAAAAGCTGCGTCGCCTGAACGAGGTGTAGGCACATCCACTGGGCTTGAAGAGGGGCCGCAATTTGACCGATCAGGCAGAGGCCTGTCCTGGGTCCACCTGGGAACTGGAAGTTTGGTGGTACCGTGCAAAGGAGTGCTGCTTCTGCCGTGTGCAAGAAACGAGGCTTGCCGGTGGTCTGGGAAAGGACGTAGCAGCCTCTGACCCCTCCGCGTTGGAGTCGCTCAGGACGGAATGCTGCGCTCCGGCATCCACATGGGCACTTTGTGAACACATTGCCATATGAGTGTAAGATCGTGGGGCATATTCCGGATTGTTCCAGGAGTCGAGTCTCCCATCCGAAGAGATGATTGTTGTAGTGGTAGAGCTCGGTCTCGGTGAGCTGTAGTTCTTCTTCAACTTGGTTGTCCCACAGCGGCCAGTCAGGAATGATGTGCCCGATGGTGCTGTGGAGGTCGTCTTTGGCCCAGGGTTTGAGGTTGGTCAAGTCGAATTCTCGTGGGGCAAGTAGCGCCCACCATCGATCACGGCGGCATGGCCACTGATCTTGAAGTGACAAGGTGAGCGTCTTCACCTGGAGGCCGAGCGCGTCCGCAAGCAGCTTCAGGTTCTCCCGGATGAAGGGGTGACCTTGTACGGCAGGAACGCATTCAAGTAGTATCGCCGGAGCCTGCATAAGCCACGCCGCCCTCAGGGTGGCCAGGAAGGTCCAGCTGCGTGAGTCTTTAGCCCCCTGCATGTCTCCTTGAGTGGAGTACGGTTGGCAAGGGAAGCCCGCACTGATCACTGTTCGCCGTAGTGAGCCTGCTCCATGTAGTTTGGCCACGTCTGCGATGTTGCAGACATCGCCCTGGATGACGTTGGAGGCGCCGTTCAGGGTCAATGCTTGGCAGCTGAGAGGATTGATCTCCAGGTGTGCTATGGGCATGATGCCGGCCGAGGTGGCTCCCATGCCAATGCCCCCCATGCCTGCGCATATTTCTTTCATGTGCTGGTAGGCCTGGATGGTGATGGGCTCGTGGAGGAACCACTGCGAATCAGGTTGCCGAGCAAGTAGGATGGTTCCATCCGCCATCTGACTGGCCTTGAAGCTGTAGAGCGTGGCCGATTGGCCTGGTGCGAGGAGCTGGTCCGGCAGCTGCAGGAGTTGGCCTCCAGGGGCAGCACGGGCAAGATGAGCCCCGGCGTGAACCACCCCGGTGAAGACCCCCTGGTCCAGGGTCTGCATCCATGGCGGCTCAGTCATGTGAACCAGCACTCGAACTTCTGCTGTCGCTAGTCCACCAGCTGACAGGCTTCGAGCCGAGACTTTTTTTTGGCCCATTCAAAAAGTCTCCCTTGGTGGTGATCCTTTAAGGGGGCATAGAGGAAACCTTGATGGGGGGGGGGGGCTGCAGAACTGGGCTTTGCCCAAAGGTCAACGGGCAAAGGGCGTTGACTTCGCGTCTCGTATGCAGTTGTTTGGCCTCACTGAGCTGAGCCAGGTCACTGATGGCGCAACGACCGGTGGAGGCTCCACCTGATTGGCATCTTGTCAGACTGTGCTTGATGGCCCACTGAAACAGGGATGCAAGGGGACCCATTTTTGGGGGAACAAACCCTTGTAGAAAACCTTCACCTGAGCAGCGCCCAAATCCTGTTGACTTTGGTTCTACCAATGTGGTTCTCAAGGCTTATATAGGGTTTGAAACTAAAATACTCCCTATAAAACCAGGCAGTAAAACCTACAACGCAATTGCCTCTCTTGGGCGTTGGGCGCTGACATCCCGCCTGGCCCAGCTCCGACTGCAGTTTGACCTCCGCATCGAGGAAGCCACCGTTGTCGAAGTTGCAGTGCCTGATCTGCTCGGGTTACCCGAGGCTCGGAGCGGGCCCCCATGAACCAAATGCGTGGGTTAACAACCTCTTAGGGCTCCTGAAAATGCGAAATCAATCAGGGAACCCTCGAAAACAAGTTGAAGCAGACCCGTTTCGCTTCAATTCCTCGCAACGGAAACACAAGAAGGGTGCAATAGCTGCTCAAACATGTTTGAGCAAGGGGTTGGATCTAACCTGGAGGAGAGGCCCCCTCCTTTTCGCTTGTTTTGTGTGAGCTCTTCGCCACAAAACTGTTCGGCCACACAAATTCAACGTCAAATCACGTGGCTGGCGTGCGCCAAACTTCGGCTTCCCCTCAGAGGGTATGCTCTAACAGGTGGAGAACCTGCCTTTTGGATGTTGTTCTTGGACACCGCAGGAAGCACGCCATTTGGTCAATCCCTTTAGGACAAGGAAACAAGTTTGACTGGCCCCGACCCCCTGAAACTTGAAGTGCAACATGTTCTTTGCCTTTGGCTAAGTAGTCCCCAACGGCTGAGCAGTTGCTCTTTTTGGCCCACACAGCCGCTCGAGTGCTTTGGCGACCCCTGTTAGCCTTTTGAGGGATCCTCGAAAACTTGCTTTGGGGTGGTGTCCCTTGCCGGCTTGAAAATAGCAAACAGTTATGCCGGGAACCCAACTAAGGTGGTGTCCCTTGCCGGCTTGACCCCTGTCCCACGTTTGCGCCTTTACCTGGGTCTCCCAACAAACCGCAGTCAGACGCCGGCACACCACCCAGCCTTGGTGTCCTTGCTTCCGTGTGTGTGTGTGTGTCCAATCCTGTTTGCAAGGGGCGGCATAGAGTTGGAAGTCCAAAACGGCAAGCTGGGAGGATTTGTCGATACCCTTTGGTTTAGCCAGCACTGTAGTGCCTCTTTCCAATAGCTCTCTTTTTTCCAAATCCGTGGAGTCGGCAGTTTCACGAGTGCTCAGTTTTGCATCTAACGGACCACGATGCCCAAAATGTCAAGGGCCAACCGCTTAATCTCTTCCTCCTAATATTAAAGCTCGAATAAATACATCTATGTTTGAGAATCCCAAATCTTGGAATACTACTTCTAGAATAGGCCAATACACAGAAGCCAATTTTGAAGTAGGTAGTTTGCTGCCCGTACTCAAATCCAGCCCTGTTAGGGGACCCATTTGAGCCTACAATCCTGCCAAGGAACCCATTGTCGGAGCTCCGAGAGTGCGTTTCCTTTGCTACGCGTGTACTACAAAGTTGCGTCTTTCGGGCCGGACTCGAAGGGAGTGCGTTTCCTGCGCGGGCTCCGAAAACGAACAGCGAACCCCCTAGTTAAAATGCTTATTTTTTGTTAACACTTCTTTTTTTCCGGGGGACCAGCTCATGAGTAGGGGGGACCGTTTTAATATTGGGGGGACAAGATTAACCGGCACTGTCACTGTACAAAGCACAACAACAAACATTGCTCCTGGGGCCAGCGGGTTGACAAAAACCATCTAGACCACCAATCAGGGGACCCCAAAACAACCCCCCTCAACAATCATTCCCAAACAATCATGCTAGTAAAAAACGAAGGGTGAAGTGCCTACACGAGATCATCCGCAAGCTTCCACAACGCCCAGTGGCTTCTGTCTTGCTGCAAAAGTGCAATTGGAGCTTCACAGGTCATCGACAACGTACCCCGGATTCATTTTTTTCAGGGGGGGCCATCTGTTTTGTGTCTCAGCGACCGTTCGCCGGCGATCCGGTGCCTCCGTTCGCCCAGGGGCACCCGGCAGCTGGCGGCCGCAGAGGTTTGGCCCTCCAAAAAAAGCTCAATGGGCACCTGGCGAAATGGTGACCCGATCGGTTCCGTACAGCGACCAGCCGGGTCCCATGGTTTTTACCCTCTTTTGATACTTCTTGTAGCCAGCAGGTACCAAGAGACCCTCTGGGCAGGCAGGGTTAGTAGACTTATTAGTTGCACAGCTGGAAGCACAACTCTCTTGCGGGGAAGTGAAGGGGATGACTAAACCATCATGGGGGGGATGGTGCCCAGCTGTACAACCAGGGTAAGTCAACTATCCCCTGTTGTCCTGCTTACAAAACCTACTTAGGACTCGCGTTGAACATCCAAGCCATCAATTGGGGGCAACCTGAATGGGTACGGTGGCGGTGTCGAAATACTTCAAGCAAACCAACCACCAGGCACAGAACCATTGATGGTAAATCACGGGAAAGGTGATGATGTCAAATGAACTGAATAAGACCGATTCTGTGAGCTACCGTAATGGTTCTGTAGATGAGTATGGTAAATTTACGTGCAACATTTCGGCCATCCACTGTAACAAAAACAAACAAACTGGAAGCCAAGACAACATCGCTTGTAGAGGAAGCTTGTTTTGGCTTCCATGATAAGTTGCAGGGGAGTCCCCTGCAAATCAACATGGATGCCGAAAGGAAGATCCCACAAATGAGCTTCCTCTTAAAATTGTGTGTTTGGAGGTTCCGTGCTCATCTGCGGGAGAGCAACATAGTAGCTGACAGAACAATCCCTTCAAAAGAAACATGGTTTTCTAATTTTTCTAGCGGCCTCCAGTCAACTTCCATGTTCGGGGAGGGTAAGAAGAGTTCTGAGAAAAGCCAAACAACTTATTTAAGAACGTAAACCTTGCGGTCTACCCGAAACCGGCCACAAACACAACCAAGGTTTACCAAAAGGGTGAAAAAATGAAGATCTTCAGAGAGAGAGAGAGAGAGAGAGAGAGAGAGAGAGAGAGAGAGAGAGAGAGAGAGAGAGCCCTGATTGGTTCATGGGCATCGAAACAAGGACTTGAACTCAATTCAGGCACACTGATTCAGCGTAGTCTAGGCAGCTTTGTGTTGTCATGGTCTGAGCAACTGTGCATGTTAACAAAACCATTGGCGCGGTACTAGTCATGCTTCCAGAAAGTGGTACTCTCGAACAGTAAGAACATATCATGCGCCGTGCAGGCATGATGCCCCTGTACAACGCTCAGTTACCGAAAGCACGTGCACATCTCCTATCGCCTGTGCGAAAGAACGTCAAGGGACTGCTCTATTGATCTCTTCGAGAAACTTTGTGAATCTCTCGTTTGATCGGCATCTT